TCTCTCTCTCTCTCTCTCTCTCTCTCTCTCTCTCTCTCTCTCTCTCTCTCTTTCTCTCTCTCTTCTGGTGCTGTGGCGTCATAAGTGGTCAGTGATGCCGACAGCACGCAGGAACTCAACACTTGCTCAAGGGTCCTTAAAAAATGCTGAACTTGGGTCGTTGAAATGTTCCAGCAGACGCATCAATCTGAAATTCCTATGGTGTTATGGTGCTAGTTGAGATACTGGTAGGCCTATATATTAATTTTTTATACCAAAAGAAGCTACCCCGATACTAAATTTATTTAAGATACAATTTGAATACTTAACCCGATGTTGTCAAGACATCAAGTGTTTGTACTTTCAAGAGTCCCAGCATGATGTTAAAAATTGTTTCCGAGCTGCCCAAATTTTGATCAAGATTCTGACGCCACAAAATTTTAGTTTTTCTTTGCAGGCTATCCTTTGACAATTTACTTGATGATTCATTTTACCTGTTGCAGATCCTCATTGAGGCGACAGTTGGAAGCGCTTACAGTGGGGACATTGCTGTGGATGACATTTCTTTGACACCTTCCTGCAAACTGAGCTCAAACGGTGAGAACATAGTCCTTTTCAACTTATGAGATTGTATTTCGTGAGTGGAAATTTTGTTCATCAATCAATCCGTGGGAATCCTTATAAAAGAAATGGTTAAAAAGTGATTAATGAGTGATAATTACTAAAAATTACTTGTGTAATGTCTTTAATTTGGTGCACATACTGTTAACATATCATGACCGTAATGAATATGATGTTTTTGTGTTTGTAAATCTGTTTTTTTTCTATATATATCACTACAGCGCTTCCCACCGCTGCTCCTATGCCAGCAACAACGACACGAAAACCAGGTTCAAACTTTGTGTGTGGAGATGGACAGCCCATCGCGCAAACGCTGGTCTGTGACTTCAACCCTGACTGCAAGGATGGTTCTGATGAAGCCAACTGTGGTGAGGAGCTCTTGACTTGGTTGACTTTCCATGCCAAAAAATGAGACATTTTAAAAAAAATTTCATTTTCTCTTAAAAAGTCAGACTATCCTCTGACAGGATTTCGGAGTAAAAATGTCTTTCTTTCTGAGCTTCAGAGGTGCTGAAAACAATATTATTGTCTGTCATTCATCACATGAAG